TGCTGAAAGCTGCCTCTGCTCTCAAAAGGAGTTGCCTTCAAATACTTCTGAAAGTAAATGCATTCAGTGTCAGTTTTAACTCCTACTTGTTCTTTAGTATTTTTTAAAATTAAATGACAGGAGCAAAACTGGCAATGTCTGACTGATTTGACTGTAGATATTTGAGAGTTCTGAAGAGAAATCACATTTCTATTTTAATTCACCCTCTGGTTTTCCTCACTCCCTTCATGACAGTCTGGTGAAAAGGGCTTACAGTGTAAAGTGGCCACAACAGCTGTGTGTTTCAAGCTTGATTTCTAACAACTGCATAAAAAGAAAAGGCTTGGTGGGAGGTTCACAGCAGAACCTGTTTTTACTATGTTTAAATACAATTGTGTAACAGTGCAGGCCGTAGTTTGCAGCATGGATGGAATTTGAAGAGAGATCTCTGAGGAGAAAATGCAACTTACTGGGTTGTTTTCTGGATTGGACAGGAACTTAGCCTTAATTTGAAGTAAACTGAAGTACTTGTCTTTTGTTTTCCCAGGTTCCTGTTGCATGTAAATCATGTCCCTGCGGCTACATATTTATTAGTAGAAAACTCTTGCATGCTAAACGTGCTGAGAGATCACCACCCATCACAGGTAATGCTTACAGAGATGGGAGAAGGGGTCGTCAACAATTTTCCTTGTATTTCTTAGAGGCAAAGGATAGAGTATTTTACTTCTCTGTGCAGACTGACCACTGTTAGTTTACTTTCCCTTGAATTTGTGCATGACATCCTTTTAATATGTTAATTTTTCTTTCAGTTTTTTCTGGTGGAAGCTGCTGTTTTCAGACTTACTTCCTTTGAACTTGTGGTGTTGGCATTTATTCTTTGTATATTCTAGGTGCACATGTTGGTCACTATGCAAAATAACTACTTACATGAAGCTTTCTGTTAATCCTATTTTGAAACTAAATGTCTAGAGGTCCCAAAGGGCTGAGATTTCAGAATGTGCTGATTGTGTGTGGCTTTTCTGAAAGTAAAGATTTATTTGAAGAAGTTACGCCAAGTCATGAACACCTGAATACCAGTCTATGAAGTTGGTTGTATGTTTAATCCAAAATTAGCTGGGTCTTGTGTGTCTCTGCATGGTTAAAATAAAAAATGATGCGCCTTTGTGTCTAACTTGGCTTTTGTTGTTGATAGGTACAGTAAGAACTCTGTTGAATAAGCATTCTAGGATGATTAACATTCTCCTTGTGTTAATTTTTATCACTTCCTCCAGCCCTAGTAAGAATTAGTCAGAGCAAGCAGCTGTCAGGGAAGGCGTTTAAAAAAAAAAAATAAAATCTGATATATCATGTCTACTTTTAAAAATTATCTACCAGGCCTACAAAATGGAAACCAAGTATTTGATATTTTGTTACTATTTTCAAGGATACTTGTAGTTTGCCAGCTTGTAGGAATTATGCTAGATAACTGAAGTTTCAAGGCGGAGGAGGTTAGCAATGTCTGTGGTACTGTTTGTAAGTCTTAGCCAGTTTTCTTTCTCCCTCTCTTGTTTTATTTGAAAATTGATGAAGTAGGTACCGAATGAAGCTGAAAGGTGTCATCTGGTAGAGCAAGTGGGAGACCATGTGTGTTTGTATTATGCTTGTAAGGTAGCTGCAACTTCTTTCAGAAAACATTTTTATAATATTTTCAACAATATATCTGCTGCAGAATGATGCTGCAGCCTTGTAAATGTGTCCTGAGTCTGTTTTGAATAGTATATAGAGTGTGGACTCTACTAGTAGTTTTCAGTACCCGATCTTGCTAATCCATTCTTAACTTGGAAACTCATGTAAATACTTTTTTTGACTTGTGTGTAGGAAAACAATACACCTGTTCAGCATCAAGTATTATGAGGCCTTATCTTAGGCTAAATTTGGTGGGACATGTATGCTATGTAATGTGGTATTTGCTGACAGCGTTGTAGACTCGAGTTGTGTGAGTAGTGGGAATGATTTAATTGTTTGTGTCGAAAGAAAATGAAGTACTTTGCTGCCTGCCTGTATAATAAACTACTTTTTTTGGCTAGTGGCAACATGCAGTGAGCTGTCTTGATGACTGATCTGTACAGGATTTTTCTCATCTTACAAGAACCTGAACTTTTTGTGTACTAGCAAGTATCTTGTGTTGTAAAATGCATTTGAAGTAATTAAAGGCTTGATCCTTGTAATCAAGAAGTCAAGTATCATATTCTGGATCTGACACTTTGATTTCTGAATGGCTGTTGTGCAGATGTAATTGTTCTGTAAAGGGATAGACACATCTAACTGCTGCTGTGAAGAGATTTAAAGAAGGTGATTGGGGTAAGCATTAAGAATAAATGAAGAATAAAAATGAAAACAACCCTAGATCATACCTTCTTTGTTCATTTGCACAGAAAACAAGAGTGAGGCCAAAAGGAGACGGACAGAAAGAGTTAAGCGAGAGAAGATAAATTCTGCAGTAAATAAAGACTTAGAAAACCGGAAAAGGTCCAGGTCTAACAGCCATTCAGATCACAGCAGACGAGGAAGAGGAAGACCTAAGAGTGCCTCAGCCAAAAAGCACGAGGAAGAAAGAGGTATGAGAACTGCAGGAATACGTTAATTGGGTTTTCATTTTGTATGAAGATTTTTTAAAAATCAATAATCTTTATCATTCCAACCATTTAAGCAAATAGCCCAGTTAAGTCAACACCTGATATGTTATACAGGGAAGGGACTGTTTCACATCTGTAAGAGACCTCTGGTTTTGTGTTTCAGTGTCTGATTGCAACTAACTACAAAGAACTAAGTCTGTATTTTTAGCTGCCAGGTCAAGTTTCATGACATACGTTGAAACCCACTGGACTGTAATGCTTAGTAGGATTTTTGTTGTGGTGTTGTATGTTTTGTTGTTTTTTTTTAAGGTACTGTGGCTCTTTAGCACAATGACAAACAATATAATGATGCCTGTTATATCAGAGAATTATTAGGATGATTTGGTTGCTTAAAAAGTTCCTTGAAACTTTTTGGAGTGCCAGAATAAAAAGGACACCTTGAGTCATGACTATGTCCTGCATTTTTGTCCCAAGTTTCTACAGAATAATTCGCTAGAGGAAGGAAAGCCTCCTTCCTTGTTAAGGTTCCTTGATGACTTCCTGTTCTTAAATTTTATACAGTAAAGAGACTGTTATAGACACAAAAGAGTTTTGGAGCCTGTAAGGTATATTACTGTCACTTAGGATTCCTTTTTATTATGAGCTTCTTGACACTACATTTGCTATCTATGGTTTTGGAGGTACTAATTGTAGGCCTGAATAATTAATAAAAAATTCAGCATAGAATTTAAAGGTCTGGAAGGCAGGTAGAAGGGGAAAAACAAAACTTCATATAAATATTCAGAAGATCTTGATCTTAAATAGTGAAACCATCAAGCATACCTAAGCATAACTCAGAAATGTAATTGGTTTTTTCCCCTGCCACCTTATTTATTAACAAAAATGGATGTTAATCCATATTTCAAAGTGAGTTTCTTTAACTTCTAACTTTTCAAAGCCAGTTTTATTGTCTCAGCTGTTTAAATGTTTATTCTTAAAGTTTTTTTCTTATAAAAACAATATAAATTGCAATTTTGTTGTTTTTGTACTTTGGCTGTGGAAAGTGGAGATTAAATTTGATTTCTACTTTTTTGTTTTCAGGATGGCATTTGCTGATCACTATTGCATGTGGCTTATTGTTGCATGTAGCTTCACAGAACACACAGCTTCCCATGTGTTATTGATCCAAGCTAGGCTTGTATCTAGCACCTATAGGATAATTTCTAGGCATTTTGCTGCCAGTCACACAGCTTTCATTTGATAATCCCTGCAAGCTTTCCCACCCCTGAAAAAGCAGTGAAAAAGAGGTGAAAAAGCAGTCTAAGCAATCAAAGTAAAATATCTGTTCTCTTAATGTAAGTTTTGTAGGCTTTGAAAAGGAAGAATTTGAAAGCATGAGGGGATATTTAGAGGAAATGGTTTCCTATCCAAAACAAGGCTGGATGTTTTTAACCTCTTGCTGCCTACTCCCAAGTGTGTCAATAAGACAGTACTCTGAGGTAGAAAACCAGAAACAAGGATTTAGTGAGACCTTTGCATAATAGTGCATGTGTGGTGTGTTTTCTTGGTATTTGGTGGTGTGTTTTTTTTAAAGTTGAATCTCATTTGAGAAGATTGCCTTTGTTGTCCTGTCCTACCATCCCCTTTACCTGTTGATGTCATTTAATTGCTGCTACTATTTCTTTCTCAGCTTTTGCGGGGCTGGTGCAGAGCTTGGGTTCACACCCATTGGTAGTTGTCTTTGTTCCTCACTGGTACAGCCCGCCTTATTGGTTAGGAATAAGTGAGTTTAGAGTATTTTCTTGATTCTGACTTAATTCTGGTTATGTCAGACTATAATGTATGTAGACACCTGTGGTAATTGTAGGGCAGATTTTTAACAAATGGTGATGTATATTGTTGTCAGGACTAGACAAATGATTTCAGCAGATAACCCATCGTTTTGTAAGTAATTGCTGTAAAACAAGTTAACGCTGACTTCTTTTTCAAGTGGCTTATAAAATTTGCCTGACTGCTACATGTGGAGTAAGTAGTGGAGAATTTTAGAAATATACTTCCTTTACTTAACCTGCACCCTGACAGTGCTGTTTTCCTAAAAGCATATTAAACAACTTGGTTCTTCTACTCCACTTAAGGCGATTTTGGTGTGACTCATTGCTAGTCCTTGTATCAGTCTGTGTAATGTTGAAAGTCAGCTCAAAACACTAGCTTAGTGTTAGACTTTGAGTGTATTATTTCCGTGCCTAGTATATATTTCTAGGATATTTTGAGTACACATTACTTGTCACTAGAATTTGTGCTGTTCTTTCCCTCAAAAGACTTGAAAAGAGGCCGCTGCTTGCAAACTCTGAAGTATTTGGTGCCTCTTAGGCTTCTGCAATGCCTAATACATTTTTAGATTAAAAAAAAAGGACATGCAAGGTAGTCTGTCCATTTGAAGACCACCCAGCTGTGAAAATTTTCTTTCTAAAGACACCCATGACATCTGTAGTTTTGTGTCCTTGCTTGTCATGCTCTTTTCATACACAGTGTGCTTGTTCCCAGTTATGGCTGTGGCTTTGACTAGTTCTTTTGTGTCCTTTGTGACTGGTTCACATTACAGCAAATTGCTGCAGGATTCAGCAGCAATCAAGAATAGGAGAAGCAAAAGGGCTTTTAAAAATAAGCTGTTTTTCCTGCAGATTCAATAAGAAGGAATGGGGGAGGACGGAGGAAGCCGATGTGGATTGAGGGGATATGATAGTGCTGGGACCCAGAGAATATTCCTGTCACGTGTTTCAGAGCCATGTGATAACCCTGGAAAATAGGAGCTGCTCACTGCAGGCTTGCCTTGTCAAAATTGCCACGTATTTTCTTTGTCAGAAATGCTACAATATATTTTGAAAATACATTGATTCTGATTGTTTTTGTGGTGGTGTATTTATTTTACTGTGTGGGACTGGTGCACAGCTAGGCAGGTAGCCAGGCTGCTTTGTTATCTAGGTAACAACCTTGATTATATTAAACAAACAGAAAAACCCTGCCTCTTAAGGTGGAGGAAGTGGTATTGGTTATGCTGCTGCTGAAGGAGGTTACCAACAAGAGTGGCCTAGAGTCTTACTAAGCATGCTTGATGCTTAAAAAGCTTTATACAGATACAGTACCCTGTGTAAAATTTCAGGACCCTGATAAAACTTGAGCTCAGTTGAATTCCTCGAGCCAGTTTTCCTTTTCCAGTAACTTGTGACTATATTACTCATACATCTCCTTGCCCAGTAAGCACATTTGAAGAAGTTTACTATTTTGGACAGTGAACCTCAGAACTTTGCATTTTGAATTAGTACAGAATTTTAGAGGTAAGGTCCATATTTGACTAATGCACAGATCACAATTTTAAGGGCTAATGGTGTAGTGGGGTGCAGTAGATCTGGGTATGTGAGAGACGTGCTACAGAAAGACTGAATATTTTCACCTAAGTAGCCTCTTAGTTGTATATCAACATTAATGTCTTACAGAAATGGTATTGTGATTCTGTAAGACAGTCTTTTGCTAATAATAGAGAAGTGAGTCAAAACTGCTTTCAGATTAGACTGTGAAGTGGCAAGTTTTAATAGTGTCAGTGGAAACCATGGTATCCCTTCAGTAGCACGTGATAAAATGTCAGGTAGGTGCAGGTTCTTCACTAGTTACTGATGAAAACTGGGATTGTCTTTAAGAATGCATAAAGCTTCCAAATCTGTCTTAATCCCTCATACTGTTTGATACCAAGATTTCCATTCTTTATAGCTGAATTTTTTCAGAACAAGCCACAACTTTGGGAGAATGAGGGGAAGGGAAACTTGTGCAAGTGGTGGGGTTTTTCTGTGTGTTTCTTTTTTTGGTGGTTTTTTTAATCATAATTTTTTCTAAAAAGTCCAGTATCTGTTAGCAGTGTCTGAGCAGGGGGAAAAAATGTATTTTTAATTTTTCTGGGTGCTGACGTAGTCAAGTGGTGGCAGGAAATCTGAAAAAAGGGGAGGGGTTTAGATATGAAAATAGAAAACATTGATGTGGAATAACCAGTGTGCATAGTGTCTGTTCTCAGAACAGCTCCCAGCATTGTTCATTTGTAAGTAGTGGGAGGGAGGAAGTGAAGCAATCAAGACTGAGTGTACACACAGTAACTGATTTGTCTTAAGCTACAGGGCTTTAATTTCAAAATCAGTACATAAGAAAACACTGTTGCGTAGCCAGGAAACAAACAGAAATATTTTACGTTTCAAATATCAAACATGCTTTGATTTGCTTTGCTTTGCTTAGGCAAGTTTCATGTTTTCAGACTTAAAACTGGTGCATGTTTCTGTGTCCAAGCTCCTCAGCCCTTTTGCTTGCAGGGAAAGGTCAGCTTATGTGTGATTTAAGTAATCTAGAAATCTTTAGGTAAAGAGGGTTTTGTTGCTCTGCTTCTTTGTCAGTATTAAATCAGAACACAGTGGTAAAGGATTTTTTCAGTTTCTCCCACTTAGTTGTTTAACACAGGGAATGCAGTGTATGGGAATGGTGGTGTAGCTGGAACACAGACAATCAGATGTGAAGCCAAATCTAAAAACATTAGTTATCTGGACCAATTGAAGGAATAACCATGTGAGTACAGGGAGATACACAGTGCTGGTGTCTTTTTTCCACATGGTGCTTTCCATTTCTTTCCAATGCTGCATTTTCTTTCACCTGTCCATTGCTGATTCAGGTGTCTTGGAGCAGTCAGCCAGAGCTTGCTGTGGTCAGAAAGCATGCACGTGTGTATGTGTGTTCATGAGACACGGGTTTGTCAGGTGAGCACTGTGTAGTCCAGGTTAGCATGAAATCTGGATTAGAGATGGAGCTCCACAGCTAGACACTAACCTTAAAGCTCTAGATGTCTACAAGCTTGGTCTTCTGCTAAAAAAGTTGGGGTTTTGTGTGTTTGGTTTTTTTTTTCCGTTTTTTTTTCTTGGTGAGTTGTGATCTACCAGTGGCTAACTGAAATTGTATATAAATAGGCATGATCTGGAGTAAGTGCTATTTATTAAAGTAGTATTCTATTAGTTTTGTCATATACTGTAGTGTAGTTTAGCATGCTTGAGCGCTGCAGTATAGAAGCTTCCTGATGGGAGGTTGTTGTGTATTTGTAACCTTGAAAGAAGCCAACATCATCAGAGGGAATTCAGAGGCTTTCCCTTTGTCACTGTGTTAGTGTTCTTCAATATCTGGGATAAGACTAGAAGTCTGCAGTATAGAAAGTCCAGAAATGCTGACAGTGACAAATTTGGAACCTGACTTCTGCCATGTGTCTGCTCTTTGGTCTTGGACACTGTAATTAAACTCTTGTGTTTCTGCTACTTAGATGTAAATAGAGGGATGAATATTGTGTTTAATGAGGATATGATGAAATATCTTTGTTTTCTAGGATGGGAGGTCTTTATATTCCACTCCAAAACTGGTGGAACATTTGAATACTCTTTTGTGTTAGGAATCAATGTAATGTTAGTGACTCATTTTTTCTTTGCCGGTGAAGAAAAGAAATTCAGTCATGCTTTTGGATGACTAATTATGTGACTCTTTCTAGCACTGTTGTGTGCCTCCATTTCTTCTTCCTGTGGGGGGAAGGATTGAGAGAGAGAATTTGGTTTAACTTATTTTCCCTTCCAGTACTCCATTTCACATCATTTACTATCTACTGTGTCACTTGCGTTAACTTCAGATAATGGAGAAAGCTTCTAATAGTTACTTTTTTTTCTTCTACAGAGAAACAAGAAAAAGAAGTTGACATGTATGCAAACCTTTCAGATGAAAAGGCCTTCGTGTTTTCAGTGGCCTTGGCGGAAATAAACAGAAAAATTATCAATCAAAGACTTATTCTGTAACTTGTAAGCACAATCTGATGCATTTATATGCAGAATGGCTAGCATATTTCCAAGGTGTCGTGGACTCTCAAAGTGTGTTGTCTGCACCAACAAGGACCATAGTATTTCCTGTTAAAATTCTGCTGCTGTTCTTGGGAATCGAATTCTGTCTCTGCAAGTCAGAAAGGAAGTGTTCACAAGATTGAGCTATGAAAAATGAGAAAGCAGATATGTTTTACACCTTGAAGACACATGCTAGACAAGTGCACAGAGAGACTGCACCCATTCCAGAGCACTTCTTTTAAATTTGCTGCCAGAAATGCAATATTTTAAGTATTTTCAGAAATAAATGATTTTCCTTTAAAATTATATATTGCAGATTTTTCAGCTATATTGCAGTTTACGTATGTACAGTTCACATAACTTTTTAATAAATTGATATTCCAATATTTTATTGAACTGGGAATTAAGTACATTTGTGCTAACTTAGGGTATGTTTGGTTTTGTCCTCTTAGAAATCTGGTATTCATCCTACGGATGACTTTTAAGAATTGCATTTTTTTAATAGATGTGATATAATTCTGATAGGAAGAAAATCAAAGTGGTTTCTTGTTGGGGAACTATTCTGCTTGACAACTTGGTATTGTTAATGAAATCTCTCTAGAAAATTATTCCCCATTACATAGTTGTTTTTTAAAAAATCATATGTACTTTTGGGGGCAGACTCCTAAAATTTGAGAGCTAAGCACTTGTTTTGTAACCACTGTTTGCTGGTGTCTCCCTTGTCCAGACGGTAAGTACTTCTCCCATACTATTTCTTGGCCCATGGTTTACTGGGAGAGAAGCAGGCATCAGAGATATAGATCTGCACCCAGCATCTACTTACTGGTATTGCCAAAATATATGTTAGTTCCTTTTACTCTCACTTTTTTGTGGTTGTTATGAAAGTGTCTTTAAAAATTATTAGCAGTATTGTCTTTGAATGATTGACTGTAAATACCAAAGCCAAAGTTTACCTGAGTGTGCAAAAATAAGCTGTTTTGACAGATTGAGGTTTGGGGGAATCATTCAATGATATGGTACAATTTGACCCAAAACTTTTCCATTAGTAAATACATGGGGCGTTTTGTCTTAACAAAAAAAAAAAAAGCTCAAGCCCTGATCAGGCAGGTGTAGGAGGCAATTACATTCACAAAATTTGATATATTAGCTTTTTGTCAGCTTTCATTCACGAGTTTCTAAGAAGGGAAGTACATGTCTTGGTTTTGTTCAGTATTGCTCATGCTTTTGCTGGACGTGTTGCATTACTTTAATAGTGTGAATCACGTGCTGAGGTTCTGCTACAGGCCTGATCTCAGTTTGGAAGCAGAGATTATTAGTAAAGCTGGACTATGAAATACTGTTTATTAGTTAGTGGTTAAAGGAAGGAACTATGATAGTTTTGAGTTAAGCCACAAGGGACTGATCAGATGAAAACTTTGTAAGCACAAGCAGGAAGCAGGAGAAATGATTTTTAGTTCTTAACTCCTCACGAGTAATTGAGGTCCTTTTTAACACTGGGTGAGAGGGATGGGTGTGGAAATGCACTTAAACCACTAATCTACATTTGTCTTTATTCCAGTAAAAGAGGAATTGCAAACACAAGACCTACTTCCCTACATCATGTAGACTTCTGCTTTCCAGAGCTGTAGCCTGTCATGGATACCTGTAGTAAGGACAGATGAGTCTTAAGGATAGAGCGTATATTTGCATGGTAAGTTAATTAAAATAAGAATGCCAAAAGGGAAGTTGTAGTTTTGAAAACCAAAGATATGATCAGGCTTATGTTGATTCTGTTACTAGAATGAGATTTACTGTATTAAGAAGGGACTAAGGGAACTACTGATGGAGTCTATTCAGCAATTGAACCTGCATTCCTACAGGTAACTAATTCTTTCTGCTCCTGTACATGGAATTACAGTGATCTTCAGAAGACTGAAGTTAATGTTGTTAAATGTGACAAAATTTAGCTTATGACTTTTGCATTTAGATTGCTGCCTGCTCACATAAGTACTGAAAAATACTTTTGTACTTCTCAAAAGTGAAAGATGTTTTCTCTCTTTTGTTGGTGGAGTCTCTTGAAACAGTGGCTGAGTTCTGTTTCTGTACTTCTTTGTCTTCCCCAGGTCTCTGCTGTCAGCTCTTTGCCACTTGTGGTTATGCTAGTTTTCTTCTGCTGGCTTCCAGTTTCTTTGAGAAAGCTGTGATGGAAGCAGGTGGCCTTGAAAATATCCTAGGGAGAGACTGCTGCTTTGCCAGTGGATCTTAGAAAGCAAGTGTTCAGACTTATTCTTCCCACCAACCAGAAACAAACCATTCTTTCCTATATAGGAAGGACACTTCAGCATCTGGTAACTCTGTGGCTGTGGTTTGCTTAGACGTAGATCTCTTGGGACATACTCAGTGATTGAACTGGAAGGCATTTGCATTGTATGAAGTAGACATCAGCACAACAGTATCTCAAGAGGTCTTTCTTGGTGTGTTAGAGGTGATAAATGAAACACTGTGGCAAATAATTGTGGATTGTAGCTGTAAAATAATTTGGAGCTTGGTGTACAAAGCTAAAATAAAGCCAGTAATAACTACATGTTGAGAGAATACAATTCTATGTTCTGCAGCTCTGACTTAACTGGAAACTGTGTAGTTTCCAAGAAGCAAGAACAAATGTGTAGCACTTCAGGAAGTTGTTTATGCAGTTTTCTTTCTTCTGTGAAACTCTAGTTCCAGTGTAAGACTTCTAGGCCCTACCTTTGAATGTCATTATGGTTCAGTCTAGCTGAATTTGTTTTACTACATTTTTTAGCATGAGGATTTGCACATTAAAACAAGTGTTATTTCAGAAATAATGAATTAGGCTTCAGGTTTTTTTAATTAACTTAAAAGAAGACCAAGTATATCACCCTTACAAAAATATTGCTCCACCTCTATACTGTCTCTCTGTATTGACTTGCCTGACTAGATAAACTTGTTGTTGTGAACGGAATAGTTTAAGATTGTACTAGAGATCAGTCTGTTTGTGGAGCACCATCTAGCAAGCTCGACTTTCTGCCACTTCTTTTCCCTTTTTTTCTGAAGAGCTGTGCTTTCTGTTTTTGTATCTCTGCGTAATTGCATGTAAGACCATCAAGCAAGTTCACAGTTGAAATTCTAGCCTGCGATTTCTCTGTATTTACTCTGTTCTGCTACTAGGTGGCAGCCTTTATTCTTGAGATAGTTACTATTTAGGAATTCTTACTATGGATACTAGGAAGAGCATTCTATTGTTTTCTGTAGAAGTACACTGAAAGGTTATTTTTATTAGAACATCAGTCTTACTGAGCTTGGGAGCCTAAAATCTTGTTCAAGGATGTTACTGGCATTCTGCATTCTGGGTGAGATGTTAGCTCTTGAGCTGTAAAAACTGGCAGAAATTAATTATTTGTCAAGATCAAAGAACTCTGAACTTTGGCAATTCAATAACAAAATGGTTTAAGGAAGCTCTTCTTCACTTCCCCTGGAATTCCTGCATATGTACATTTTTTTTCTGTTCAAATTTTACAAAGATCTGTAGTTTTCTTGTTATTTTCACTCTAAAACTGTTATGATTGATTAAAAAAAGTTGAAAATGGGGCAAGGTATTGGGGGATACTTTCCACATTATCATCACCCCATGATTTGGCAGCAGGATTTGTGGAGAGGGAGACTAGAAATGAGATACTTGCTTCAGTTATGTCCTAAACAAGGTCTTTGTGATGGTTTTGCTTAGTGCTTTTAAACTTTTTTTTTTGTTTTTCTAGGTCTTTTTTAGAGTGGAACAATGATTCATGTAGGCTACTAGCAGCACTTTGTCTTCCTAATATCTTGGACTGTACTATCAAGGATACCCAGCAGGATATGGTGCTTGACTTTTGTTCTTTAAGATTCTGATAAACTTTAAGGTATTGGTAACTTGTGATTAAACAGTGTAACCAGAAAGCTGTTTTAAGCCACTGTTTAGTTAAAGCCTTTCTGAGTTACTGTTCTCCAGAACATGCTTCTTCTGAATGTATTACGTGTGCAGGTATTGCTAGTGTCCTGTTTTGTATCTCATAGGTGCATCTAAGCAAATGTTCTTGTTTACATTAGGTGTGTATGTTTGAAGCAAATCTCGTGATAGTCCCTACTTCCAGTGCTTGTGTTTTCATCATGGAATAGCCTTGGGGGTAGCAGGAAGTAGATTCCTTTTACAAAAAATTGACATTGAAGATTTTCTTCAGCTGTTAGTGGGTGCTTGGTCTGCAGGATCAGATCTGCCTGTAGCAGATGGTGAGTTCTCCGTGCCAACTGTTGCACTCTGTAGAGTTCCTCTTGTGCCTCACTTCTTGCTTATTACAAAAATATAGCAGAGCAAATGTTAAGAAGTTTAACTAATGCTTCCTGGTGAGTTATCCTTCAGAGTATTCACAGTGTCATCAGTGTGTTCTGATACGCTTCCTAGTTGTTTATTTCACTGTGGATTCTGATGAATATCCTCTAGCAAATCAAAGTGTAGCATTTCAAGATGTTTCTTTCCCCAGTTGTTGGCCCTACCCTCTCTGGAGGTTGCCACTTAGGTAGCAGTGATGGTAGGACAACTATAGCAGATTTATTTATTTATTTTCCTCTCCTTTAGGCTCTTGCTTTTAAAATTCACTAGCAGTTAGTCTGGCTGCCTCAAATTTATGTCAAGAGAAAAACTGCTTTATCAGATAAAAATTTTGCTGCCTTATGGTTGATTAGACACTACAGAAATACACTGCATGGTTTTATTGTATATTGTGAATTCATCAGTAACTGAAAGTATCTGTAACTTACTGTGTTTTTTTTCTGCTCTCTAGAAGTGGCTGCTTATAGCTGCTAGCTATTGAGTAGGGTATGCAATCTAAGTAAAAAGCAAGAAATTGGTTAGGCAGAACGCATTGGAAATGGATACATCTGGGTATCTTTTTTTTTTCCTCCAGAAAAAAATGTAAACCTGCTTTCACTGAAGTTGTTTAATTGCAAGCTCAAAATGTGATTCTTATCAATCATTTGGTGTCATGATGCAGCATGTTCCTGGGGAAGAAGTCAAGTACCCCTCCCTGATCTTCCTCCCACAACCTGCGTTTCTTGGTGCTTAGTTTTGTACATAGAACCTGAACTCCATCTTATAAAAGTGTACTTCCTCTGGTCTCTTACTATACATTATTTCAATTATAACTTGATCTTGAATTTTGTCATAAGGGTTAAGAAATAAATACTATTTTAAATCCTGGGCAGTGTTGATGACTGTAAAAAGCTGTTAAGAATAGTGAGTGTTCCAGATATCCGGAGTACAAACGTTAATAGTCTTGCGGTTTTCCAAGTCTCAGTGCGTTTTGTTTTGTCTTTGAATATTTTATTGAAAATATCTTGCCAATAAAGAAAAATCTTC